ACAATGTCGGGCAGACGTTGGATTTTGGTTGAAAATGGGGTTGATGTCTAAATCCAATGGAGGATTTACATGGAAATCCAATGTTTGTTTGACGTCAAGCTCCAACGTTGGGCAGTCGTTGAATTTTGGTTGGAATTAACCAAACAAAAAGGTGAAATGCATGGCCGTACACTTACTACTAGCTACACTTAAAACTAACCAGATTTACTTTATGTAATTTCCTTTTTAATGAAATCATATTTTGTATTTTAAAGTCACGATGATGGTGGTTAGCGTTTGCTTTAGTTGTGCTCTTGACCCTTGACTCTTTAATATAAAATTTTCTCTAAGCATTTGAACTTACTTATGCTTTATGTGTTTTGACAGTAGATAGAATATGGGTCACTTGAGAATGCAATATTGTTATATGCAAGTTGTTATGCATTTTATAGTAATTTTGTACTACTCATAATACAGAGTTTGAGGGAAACGCAACTAGTGTCTGTCGTTGTAATATTTCTATGTTCCCCTCTTCAGGGAGACTACACATATCCTATTAATCGAGACGGAGGCTGGGACTAACAATATCAAGGAGCAAAACTGTTCATGCAAAGCTTGGTAGGTCTCTATTCACTTCTATAAGCTTTCTTATTACAAACTAACAGCTTGTTTTCATATGACGTCACTCCACTGCGTTGCTATGGCGCGAAATGCAAATGGAGGGCAGGAAGTGATTTGCGGTATTTAGAAAGCACTATAACAAACTCAAAATGCCTATGTTTTGCATTGTTTATGGTTACTTAAATTGATCAAACCACGATGAGTTTTTTATCGTGTACCAAAAGTTGTTGTTCATATGGGGGGAAAATGCAAGAAATTGACCGAAAAACTCCGGAAAAACAGCTTGCAAACCTACGTCTGCGGTCGGGAGGAGCCGAATGGGAAAATGCCCGTGTGTGCAGTGATCACTTCATCAAAGGTGAGTTAATACAACTTAAGTGGCTATGTTTGTGTAACGTGCAACGTTTCCGAACTTTGTAAAGTCAAAGTATGTCTGTAAGACGAGGTAGTTGCTGATATCTACCGCCTCGATGGCAGGAAAATCTTTAAATCCAGTTGAAAAATCGCTTCTCTTCATAACGTAAGGATCACGTCCAACATATGTTTGATTTTTTGTTTATATCTTTCTCTTGTAATAGCGTGTAAAGTAGTACAGTACGGACTTTCCTCCATCTCGTCCATTGCGCTCCTCACTCCCTGCCCTCCATCTGAATTTCGCGCGTCATCATAATCACGTGACTGAAACCCAGCTATTAAACAACATATATCAAATCAGCAACAAAATCTGACGTTAACTGTCCCAAATGTTGTTTTTAATGCTGAAATAACGTTAAAAAGGCTTATTTTTCAGGCTAGACCAGTCAATGTGAATGTAGGTTTCTATGGGATCCGGAGCTTTTAACGGCAGCTGCAGTGACGCACTTGACCCTTTCGCTAAGCCCCGCCCTCCTTAGTTACTGTTGCTACGCCTGTCAAGCTTTCGCGGCTGCCACGTCTATTACAGTGTGAATGCACCGGTGTCAGACATTCCCAAGGAGATAATTAGTCATTTTTGGCGAACAGGTGAAATATCTGTGAGAGCAAGACAAAAGGGACAGCAGTATGCATTCGAGGGATATATCCACGACATAATATGCAACCGATTAGAGAATAATTTCATCAAAATTGAAGCTAAAGCCTATAACGTTAGGTCCCAGCGCAAGCAGCAGCCGCCTCCTTAGCAGACCATTCACATGGGAAACACACAAATTGAACAGCTATGTTCATGCACAGCAGAGTAAGTGAAATGTGAAAATAATCTAATAATTACAAATCAAACAGTTTATCCATCAATCTAACACCGGGAGAGCCGCGATCGGATTGGGGTAAAGTTACAACAAAATGCTGAAATATATTTTAAAGTATGTCAGTGAGCCTCCGTCTTGCCTTTAATCGTCTTATTTTACGCTCAAATATATGCATTAATAACAGAGAACCGCCATTATTTCCAAGCAATAAGCATTTTTTTTTTTTTTGTTAATCCTGTCGACATTTAGTTGTGAATGGGTCTCCACACTGCTTGATCCACGCCCGGGATTTCTCCCCTTTGGCTTTTAGGTTTCGGGAAGAGAAAAAATGCCACTCCACCGTCCAAACTTTTAGAATACCGGGTATCAGATTTGCACAATCCATACGCACAATGCGTCGGCATGTTTCCCTCGCTCAAAAGCTTGACAGACCTCCCGCGCCTAGTTACGGTTGCTAAGCCACGATTGGCCAGTGGCGGTTTTCGGGCGTGGCTTAGCGAAGGGTCAATTACTTTACTAATCAGCGATTGGCTGTTTTACTTAGAAGGCGGGAGGCATTCAGCGCCATAATGCGCGTAGCAGTTTCTCCCCCAGTCAGAATAGGAGTGCATCGTCTTTGTATGTCTAATTGCTGCGTCCCAATTCGCATATTTTCCGTCCATTCAGCTACATTTCTCCCCGAAATGGTAGGAAATTAAATGAAATGTGGAGGATTTTAACTGTGACAAGATGGTTGACAGGGCAGCTTAAACTGTGACAGGATGCACATAACTAAGCGACAGTAAAAGCTGTCCGTTAAAGACGCAGTTAATTAACAGACAGCTGAGCTCACCGCTCCATAGGGCCGGTTTACACGGAGCACGTTTGGCATTCTCATGGACTGCTTTTTATTTGTTTTTCTATATAGAGAGCCGTCCCTCCCCTCCGCAACAGGTGTTCTGACGAACACCATACCCATATTAGACATTCTCTGACCATACCCATCAGAATGGGATACCTTCGGTTAATGCGCATGCGCAGCAGTGAAATTTGTGGAATGCGTTAAATTTAAACCATCATTTCAGCATACCTAAGATTAGAAGCGGTAAGTGTTGGTGCATTATATCGCATATTATATACACATTACCTAATTGCATGCCTTGTACAATCACAAGAAATGTTGACAGACGTTTTCGATATATTATTTTTAGCAAGTGGAGTCGTAAAGTCACGTAATGTCGTGTTAAAACGTTAAATGGTGTTAACTCGAGGTTCTAGCGTTTGGCGCCATCTGACCGAGATTAAACACATCGACTAATGTTTTGCTTTTAAATGATTAATGCTTATTTTTCTGCTAACTGTAGTTTAACCATTGAAAATAAGTGGGAGGAAATTTTCAATTACCTTTTAAAGGGTTCATACCCTGCAGAGCTAAATAAAGGGCAGAAGCAAAGCCAAAGGAAATACTCCTCGAAATTCAGGATTCACGGTCAGTATATTACCATCAAAATACGTCTATAATACTAACAGGAATGTGCACGTGTTCATATTTTGTATTATTTATTATTATAGCATACCCCTTTATAAACTGTATTTTTTATTAAACCAGGGCTTTAAAACAGCATACCCCTTTATAAACTGTATTTTTATTAAACCAGGGGCTATCAACATACCCTTCACAAACACTGGAATGCTGTTTTGACAAAGTAGGCTAAATTGACAGACCCCGCTATAAAACTCAACTTCCGGTATGCTATTCTGACAAAGTAGCCTATGCTACATTGACAGAACACCGGCTCCTGGGACCTTATTTCGGAAAAAAATATGTATGGTAGTCAATAGTGAGAGACAGCTTATCTTTTTATTCCGTCTAAACTGTGCCCTGAATTACACATATGATGTTTGTCAATTTAAAAGATAATTATGAAAGTCAAGAAAGTCGCAGTTTGTCATAAAACAGAAGAGTGACATTTAGTTTTATGTGAAAATCGCTCAATGAACTACATCTCCCGGGAAGCGAAACAACGAGCGAGATCCGCTGCTCGTGTGTGTGCAGTCTGGTACAAAACACTCAGGCATGACGGCGTAACGTTACGATTATAACGTAGGACTATTGAAAAAATGACAGACGTAGCTTCAGTAAAGTTAGCTTCATTCATTGAGAGAAAATGTGCGCCTTTGGGGTTTGTAGTCTTTGTAATTACGTATTTTCACAGTCTTATACCTCAACAGTTTTACACCAAACTGCGACTTTCTTGACTTTATAATGTATCTTTTAAATTGACAAACATCATGTGTAATTCAGGGCACAATTCAAACGAGATCAAAATATTTGTTGCCTCTCGCCATTGACTACCATATAATATTTTTCCGAAATAAGGTCCTATGGTGGTCGACCGGAAGGGGGCCTAAAGATGCTCTAGTCTAGATAAATGTCTTTGAATGTACGCACTCTGCTCCGCCTGACCTTCAGAGGGTGTGCTCCAGGATATGGTCTGTAAAAATGTCTTTGTACTGTGTACTGAAAAAAAACCAACACCTTTTAGTTCTACATAGAGATGTGTGTATCTCCTACCCAAGCCTAATCAATGAAAGCAGTGAGGCTGATTAAACACAAACACTTCGAGATGTCCACAACAATAGATGTTAATGTTAAAAGCTTCCAGGCTCTATTATATTCACTCTGAAGCTGAATGCAAAGCTACTGCAGATTTCATCCTGACCAATCACAGTAGTGCTGGTCTGCTAGATGCAATACACATAGTTACTTTATTGTCATCTTGAATAGACAGACTTAACTCACAATTTAATGAGACAAATAAGAAATCTTCCCAAAGGAAATGTGTAACATACATCATAAAACAAATGTTGCAAACTTTTCTTCCAACATTTAACCCAATACACATAAATTGAATACATCAGTAAAAGTAACAATTAGACAATTTGGTGACTGTGTGTTATGTGAAGTAAAAATCCAAACCAAAGCAAGCAGCCAAATTCCTTCATTAAGGGCCCTTTTATGAGACCGTTATTGAAATTTAAATGCGATGGTCACTTCAAAGAAGTAATTATACAATTATTAGAACAATTTATCTGATATTTTATCTGGAAATTTAACTAAATATCTTATTTTTAATGCTTGTTAGTTTTTTACCAAATGCCAAATCAATGTGAATTAAAGACACGGAGTCCATATAAAAACAAATACAACAACATTTATTTACATTTACACATTTGGCAGTTCTTGTATTCCTTGCAAATCAATCCAATGACTGTGGCGTATCCAGCACCATCTCTCCTGTTTGCTCTACAGTGCTACATGTGTCTTAACAAAGTTAACATCTGTATTTTTCAGTTTGAATTCTGTTTTTAAATAACATTTCAATTCAGAATAAAGTGTCAGTGACGTCTGGCTTCATGTCGGGTGATCCAGACAGCCACTATGAGACAGTAATGCGTAATGAGTGGAGCAGAGTGATGCTCGTCTCTTTGAAGGGAATTCGCCCTGTGTTGTGTCTGTTGTGACTTGAGTTTGTCACTGTGAGAGTCACATGACGCTGATCCTGGAACTGAGGACACATGATCAGAGATGTTAATCCTGTGATGCTGAAGCCCAGAGCCTGATTTCTGTCTTAAGAAGCCCTGATGCTCGTGTTGTCCTCCATGTTAGGAACTCAACCCTTATGCCTACACCTCAAGTTTAGGATTAGGGCTATAAATGTTACTTAATCAAGACATAAGTTCATGAAGTCTTGTACACCACTGAGAAGAAGTGAGGAGCTTGGATCCATCAGGGTGTTTTCAGAGGGCAGAGATGCTGTTTCCACGATTATCACTTCCATTCTCAGATTCTCTGTCATAATTTCTCTGTAACCTCATCCTGGGAAACACAAAACATGTGGAACAAAATTATAAATATGAATTTAGATACTTGAATTATACTCTGTGAGTTTGTTGTTACAGCAAGGGGCTTTACCTTTATTGGTTCTTGGTCTCTGTTAACAAAAGAAGAAACATGTTTAGTCAAACATCTCAGAACAAATCAATGCAGATAAAAACATGGTACTGATGCATATTTTGTATTTGAGAACAATCTTTTCAAACTATTTGTATCAGACCTTTAACAATATTTTTGCACTTACGTGTTAAAGTCAGCAAGGCGGTCAATACTGTGTCTCCTTTCAGGTAAATCAACGGCAGTATTTAAACTCTGTCTGTCAGAATCGGTGCCCTTTTTCCTGAGGCAGCAAAAATATGTATTATAACTAATTTACCAAACATAATAATTTTCTTCACTTTGAAAAAAATACCCCTAAAACATGAGCAATGTTCAACATGAAACATCATTTTATCACTAAAGATAACTGCATTACATTACAGCATTTTAGGAAAGCTGTATAGTACATGTGAAACAGAACAGACAATCTAATCAATCCTGATTTCAAGTTGACTTTAAGCTTATTTTTCAACTAGAAATTATTTTCAGGTTAGTTGAAAAGTTAGTTATTATTCTGTCACACACGATAGATAGATAGATAGATAGATAGATAGATAGATAGATAGATAGATAGATAGATAGATAGATAGATAGATAGATAGATAGATAGATAGATAGATAGATAGATAGTTAGTTAGTTACATGGCCAGTAATAACTTACTTGACAAGATGGACAATCGTCAACACTAAAGTCCCAATGATTACCGCCAGCACAACACTGACAGCGATGAGAGCGATTGTGACGGCTTGACTGGATTCTCCAGAGTCTCCAGAACTGTCCTCCACTTTGATTACCAAACCAGGTCCAAAAACCTTCTCCAGCTCAAACGTTAAATCTTCGTTCTTACTGTTCAGTTTCCTGTGGGAGTGAAGATATTTCAGATGCTGCCCATTAGTAGGGAGGTTAAGTGACTTTTGACTTCAAGTCATGATGCAAAGGTCCCCTTTGGTATGGAAGTACCTTAGGGCCATAGAAATAAATTTATCCTAAGACACAAGTGAGATCACATTTTGTATCTTATATACACACATTTTTTAAAAATGGCCGCCGACCATACTTGAGAGGCCCATATCTTTGCTTCTGTCATAGCTATAATGACAAATTTGGTATCAACGGGTACATTTTTGTGGTCAAGGAGTCCAATAAAATAGGTTCCAAGACTAAAAAACAATAATGTTGTCCTTAACATGACAATTGGAGGTGAAGTATGCAATTTTTTATTAAAAAACGCATGCCAAACACACAGTCCATTCACAACTTAATAATTTCTTCGTTTAGGTCTGCTTCGCATGCGCCCTTTACAGCACTGGCTGAAGACGTGGGTCCTGCGTCGAGCATGGGCATCCGGTCGTTTACGTCTCAAGGTAACTCAGAACTGTGTCACAGCTCTGGAGCCCTGGAAGGCGGTCGACTGGTATCAGACAGGTGTAAACCTGGGAGTAATCTCTAAACTGATAGTGGTTTCGACAGACGCCTCCAATTCGGGCTGGGGCGCCCTCTTTGAGGGCAGACCGACTTTTGGCCTGTGGTCAAGCCAAGAAAAGAGCTTGCACATAAACTGTCTAGAGATGAAGGCGGTCGAGAACGCCTTGCGGTTCTTCCTTCCCCTTCTAAAGGGCCACCATGTCCTTGTCCGCACGGACAACATGTCGGTGGTTTCCTACATAAATCGCCAGGGCAGTCTGAGATCACGGAACCTTCATGCACTGGCAGAACGCATCCTTGTATGGGTTCAGCACCCATCACTGGCCCAGCCCATCACTGGCCCAGCCCATCACTGGCGGCTGGGCTGCCCATCACTGGCCCAGCCGCCCTCTCTATGCTTTCCCTCTGATCATGCTGTTACCACAGGTAATCAAGCCTATAAGGGAGAACGGTTCCTGTGTACTTCTAGTAGCTCCGTTCTGGCCGAACCAAGTTTGGTTTCTGGAGCTGATGCAGCTTCAGAGCTTGCCTCCGTGGCCTGTCCCATTGAGGAGAGATCTCCTCTCACAGGCCGGGGGTACGATTTGGCACCCACGACCCGAGCTTTGGGCTCTGCATGTGTGGGCCATCAACGGGTACCCATCAGTCTCCCCGACAGAGTGTTAAACACGATTACGCAAGCTAGAGCGCCCTCTACTAGATGGCTTTATGGTTCCAAGTGGTCAGTGTTCTCAGGTTGGTGCTCAGCTCGCAACCTGGATCCACAAGATTGTGGGGTGTCGGAGGTTCTCTCCTTCCTACAGGAGCTCTTGGATAAGGGTAGATCCCCATCCATGCTCAAGGTATATGTGGCGGCTATTGCTGCGTTTGTCAAACATTCGCATGGCCAGTCACTGGGTAGGAACGACCTTGTAGTCCGCTTCCTCAGGGGAGCTAGAAGGATGAACCCTCCTCGCCCCCCCTCGGACCTTTCCTTGGTCCTGGAGGCCATGAAGGGTGCCCCTTTCGAACCTCTACAGTCTGTGGACCTTAAGTATCTCTCATTGAAAACCGCCTTTCTGGTGGCTATCGCCTCAGTCAAGCTGGTGGGTGACTTACACGCACTTTCTGTTAGTGCGTCGTGCCTTGAGTTTGGGCCTAATGACTCCAAGGTCATCCTCAAACCAAGACATGATTATGTCCCCAAAGTACTTGCCACTCCTTTCAGAGCACAAGTCTCTGTGGATCTGACAGCGAGTCTGACATTCTCTCGTCACAGGCGATTTTTGAGATTCACCTTCGAGGGCCAGGCATATCAATACACAGTCCTACCGTTCGGCCTGTCCCTGGCATCCTGTATATTATGATGTACATGGACGCGGCTCTCGCGCCCCTGAAACTTCAGGGAATGCCAGCTTTGAACTATTTGGACGATTGGCTGATTCTAGCTCGATCTCATTCAGAGCTCATAGAACACAGGACCATATTACTCGAACACCTCGAGAATCTTGGTCTCACAGTCAATTGGGCGAAGAGCCAGGAAATATCCTTTCTGGGCACAGAGCTGAACTCGCTGTCAATGACAGCGCGACTATCGCCAGAGCGCATAATGAACATTGCGGCACTATAGTCCCGCTCAAGAGATTTCAGAAGATGCTGGGCCTCATGGCCTCATCATCATCAGTACTCCAGCTGGGTCTGCTTCGCATGCGCCCACTGCAGTGGTGGCTGAAAGCACGAGTGCCGTCTCAAGCTTGGGCCTCCGATCTGTTTCGCCTCAGGGTCAATCAGAAATGCGTCGCAGCTCTGAAACCTTGGAAGGCGACCGACTGGTACTGGTACCACCGCCTCTTCAATCTGACATTCTCTCTTCGGATCTGACAGCGAGTCTGACGTGAATCTCCTTTGCCTGGTTAGGGCCCTTGGAACGTTCGGCTGCTTTCAGACGGTCAGGACAGCAATTTGTTTCGTTTGGTGGCCGATCTAAAGGTCTAGCTGCCTCGAAACATAGCCTTTCCAGGTGGAAAGTGGACGCTATCTCACTGGCTTATACATCTAAGAGCCTTCGTTGCCCTCTGGGCGTCAGAGCTCATTCCACTAGAGGCATGCCTCTTCATGGGCCTGGTCCAGTGGGATTTCCCTTCACGATATCTGTATGGCGGCAGGCTGGGCCTCTCTGTCTACATTTATAGGGTTCTATAACCTGGAAGTTCCCGCGCTCCAAGCTAGACTGTTGTCAGTTTAGTTTATCTGCTCAGTTCTGCCGGACTCGGTTCCGCGGACTGCAAAGTTTTCAGTTCAGGCAGGCTATTGCCTCCCCTGACTGTTATACCGTGTTAAGCACCCTCTATGCATTTAAGGTAACCACGTTTACCTTATATCATTCTTATTAAGCCCATTCCCAATGTCGGCTTTTTATATCCCCATATCATATGAACTCAGGGCGCTCGCCCTTGGGTCAGTGTTGTGGTAGATTTAGCACGCACGGCGTTTTAAATTGGATTCCCGTAGCGTAAGCTAGCTTACGCAACACGAGAGTACTCTCGTAAGAGAACGTCACGGTTACTAACGTAACCTCGGTTCTCTCTAGAAGAGGGAATGAGTGTTGCGTAACCCTGCCGTGCTTGTGCTACCATCTGGTTTCGCTTCAGTCGATGAAAACCAAGGAGCATCTTATCGAGCTCTGGCTTATATAGGCATAAGCCACGCCCATTCGCCCACTCATTGGTGCTTACGTCACGAGCAGTGCCTCGATAGGTTGCAGCAGTTGCCGCATAGCATCCAATAGGCGCGCGAGCTGCCTCGCCTAGGTCTGCTAGCTGCAGCAAGTGTGTTTTAAATTAATACAAATTATAAGGATAATTTTTGGCTTCAGTATTCTTGAGAAAAGAGGTTTTCCCTCTAAGGTTTTTTTTTCCATAGTCAACTAGCTAGCTATTTATTAGTTATCTAACATTAAAAAAAAAAATTTATTTAATGAGAAAGTCATACGAACCTCAAAGTGTTAACCTGTCACCTCTGACCTTCAACAGCTGTCACAGCTCCTGGTGCAGATGGGATGTGTTGTTGCAGGAACTGATATGCTATAGGCTACTCCTGACTGGTCGAAATCTCATGCTACTTAGGACAAATGTAA